AACAGACAGAAGATATTAGAAACACCAATCAAGCAAAACACAGCAAATACATGGAACACTTTGAAACCAATGCTCTAGACAAATCTGAACACAAACCCAAACTCTGGCTTACATATGTAGACGACACTTTTGTAATTTGGCCACACGGGAAAGAAAAACTGGACAACTTCCTCACACACCTCAACAGCCTATACCCCAAAATACAATTCACCATGGAAAAAGAAGCCAGCAACCAACTTCCCTTCCTGGATGTCGTAATTTACAAAAATCCCAATGGTTCCCTAGCACACACCATCCACCGGAAGAAAATACACACCAACCGCTACTTAAATGCACAATCCCATCACCACCCTGCACAGATCAACTCCGTAGCCAAGACCCTCATCTCCAGAACCAAACACCTAGCCGACAAAGACCAACTGAGAACAGAATTACACACTCTCACAAACATATTAATTTGCAATGATTTCCAAAGAAGCACAATTACCAACCTAATCCTAAGGGAGACACCCCCCAGAAACTGAGACACAGAACAGGACAACGGTATTGCCCTCTTCCCCTACATCAAAGGCATCACAGATAAAATCAGCAAAATTCTCCACAAACACAATATCAGGACAGCCTTCGGCACTGACCAAAAAATAGCCAACATCCTAAGAAACCCCAAAGACAAGATCCAGCTAGAAAACCAAGGAGTTTATGAAATGCAACAATTGCACTGCCTCATACATTGGACAAACCAACAGGAGAATAAATGCACGCATCGCAGAATATAAGAATGCAGTCAGAAAAAAAGAAAATACTTCCTCCCTTTTCCAGCACCTTAAAGCCACAGGACATGAAATTAATTTTGAGGGAAGCAAATTAATCTCCAATACTGAACACTTCAACAAGAGAATAATCAGGGAAGCCATCGAAATACAGAAACACCCCCATAACATGAATAAACGGGATGATGCCTCCCACCTACCAGACACCTGGAAACTAGCCCTCACCAACAAACGAGTCCCAGGCATGAAAACCAACACCGGACCCAAAACAACACGACACCACCACCATTCTCCTTCACCAGACTCAAACCCAAACCCATCCCATAGATGAAAGACAACCACTGTCCAGAAACCAGACCACAACTGCATCACCAGCTGCCACACACCCTGACCCCCAAACCAAGCAAACGGACACATGCCATGAACACATATCCAGGCCTCAAACTTGGAGCCAAACCAAAACCCGGAACGTCACATCACAGCCACCCGCTCAGGATATCACATCACAGAACTCAGGAGGTTATACCACAAAACCTCAGAACGTTGCAACACAGCTAATGACCCAGGAGATTACAGCACAAGACCCAGGATGTCACAACAATAGAAGGTCAGAAGGTCGTCACACAGCCCATTACCCAGGTCGTTACAACACAGGAGGCTGATAGACACACAGCCAATACCTCAGCCACACTTGTTCTTACGAAAAAGCCAGCCAATCTGCAACCATCAACTCCATCAACCAATCAAGAAATGACAAAACAGCCAACCTCCCCACCAGTATATATAGGGAGGTGGCAGCTCACATCACGCTTTGCTCGCACAAGCACGAAGCCGAAAGCACTAGCCTGAAGATGGCAAGTGGGACCTCGTCAAAACGTTGCCAAGATGCTCTCAATCTTACATGGGAAAAGACCCGAACACGCCAAGACCTGCATACCTGTACCCATGAAAATCTACATATATATGTGTGTGTGTGTGTGTGTGTGTGTGTGTGTGTGTGTGTGTGTATGTATATTCACATATACAACTTTAAAAGCACAACTATAATGACATGGGAAAATACCCGAACAAAGCTGAATACCATACATACATACATATATACATAATTTCTTTCTGAGTGTCGTAAGTACTGACAAAAATGTATGTCAAAAAAGACCACCACGTTCAATGTTTTTAATGTTTATACTTTATAACATTTATATTATTTTTTAAAAGTAAAGAAAGATATTCAAAATTTTCAGTAAACAAAACAAAAGTGTGATCAGAAAGATGTTAAAAAGTTTTCAGTAGACAAATTATGTATGTGTAAATTAATTTGGTTGGAATTGGTGGCTACCTAGAAGGTTCCAGAATTATAAAAGAATCTTGGTACTAAACATTAATGATATGCTTGCTTCTGAATTATAATTAGAGATAATCTAACGCTTCTTCATATGCCTGCATTAAAAAATGTGCTTATATTGTTTCTTGTAAAGATATCCCAGATGTAATGAATCAGCTTGTCAGATGACATTAAGATAAGTTTCCAATTTTTTGAAATTTCACATGAGAATTCTGAATAATCCAAGGAATCACAAAGCTCTGCAAATAGGTTCTTGAACTATAGGAGAGAGGAAGAGAAGCAAGGAATGGTCCTTATTTGGCTTTAAAATGCTTGTACAAAATATGTAAGAGATCTTCAGACACCCACTCTCTCATGGTCATATCCAAAACTTCTTTTATTTAATAGAGCTAGCTTCTGAAGAATCTGAAGAGGATAAAGAACATACATGTGAGACATTGCTGATGTGCATTGTTACTGTGCTTAGTCATGGGCTGAGAAGCGGGGGCGGAGTAGGAGATGTACTCAGGAAACCATCCAAGGAGGTAAATTAATGTTACGTGAGAAAGAAATAGTACATGTTTGTAATGGCAATGAGGAACTGAAGATCCATAAACCTTTTATAAAATATAAAAATAAAGATTGAAATGAATATTGTGCAAAATATGAGTATGTATGATGCCAGCTAAATGTGTAAATGTCAGTGTTGATGTTTTAATAATAGTTATAGTTACTCTAATACGGAATTTACTAATGTTGCAGTATTATCAGGCCAAGAGGTTTCTCAAATTCCATTTTTAAAACTACCTGTAAACATATTTTTGACCATGAATAAGTGTTCTATCAAGTATGGCAAGAGTGCTATAAAATTGTTTCCAACACTATTTTTGTTATAGAGTCATAAAGTTGGCAATAATCATTCTGTCAAAGCTCCTATTAAGTTCAGGAATCCACATTAGAATAATCATAGAATAACAGAGTTGGAAGGGACCTTGGAGGTCATCTAGTCCAACCCCCTGCTCAAGCAGGAGCAAATACTTGCCTCTACCTGGGATTGAACTCACAGCCTCCTGATTGTGAGGCAATAGCTCCACCTCTAGACCACCACACCTAGACTACTAACTGTTTAGCCTCCACCTGAATGCATCCAGTGAAGAAGAATCTATCAGTTTTGGGGGGAGCTGATTCTGTAGTAAGAATCATGCATGTCGTGCTTTTTTTTAAATATTATGTAAGAAACTGCCTTCTTGCAAGCTAAATCTAAGTCCATGTCCTGCACTCTAGGGCAATCGAAAACATATCTTGACATTCTTCTATGCAGGTTTTTTTTTCCAGTTTAATTTCATCCCATTTTAATTTCTCAAGACTATATCTTTCCAGTTCCTTCAAACTTTCTTCACAAAACCTAGCTTCAAGTCACCTATCACCTTCTTTGTCCTTCTCACAACATAATGCAATTTATCTAAATCCTTCTTAACTGCACGCAGTTAGCAAGATAAAAATTTGCATTTATCTTTGTTACATTTTATGTTTTCATTTTAACCAATTTCTTACAGCATTTAAGATTGGGTGAATTTATTTTTGTCATCTGAGATAGAAAATTTGTTCCATTCTTCATCCAATGCATTAATAAAAATGTTTATGACTACAGGCCCTTCGAATGGCACTCTATGCAGCATCTCACTCCAGTTTGAATCAGTTGTGTGTCCAATTAATTATTATGCCATTCATTTTACATTTAATCTATCTTGCTAATTGAACATTATGGTTAGTTCAACAGAAACTTTGATTAAAACAGGACATGTTTTATCTATATTATTCCACTAATCTGCAAAAGAAGTTAGCCAGTCAAAAATTGCTATTGGGATAATCTGGAAAAAAATTATACTTAATTTGTAATCATTACTGCATTATTTTCGAGATGCTTTCAAGTTGATCATTTTCTTACACACTCATGCCAGACTGTCTGGTTTGTTTCTTTCTCCTTTGAAGATGGAAACGATTTTGCTTTCTTTCAGTCATCTGGCATTTCACCCATTCTCTAGAATTTCTCAAAGTTACTACATAAAGGTTTCAACAGACCATTAGCAAATTCCATTGGTAAACTAAAGGCTACTCATTTGGCCTTGGAGAATCAAAGCAGAGTCCCTGACTTATATTTCTGTCAGTTTGACATTTCAATCCTGCTCTTTCATTCTTTGCCTTTGCTAGTACTTCATAAATCTTATTTTTCTCTCATTACTGAGCAGTTAATACAATGATTCCTCTATCTTTTATTTTCATCATATACAAATAAACCTTTTTGTTGTTCTTAGCATTCTTTGCCAAGCTTCACCTGAGTTTCATATCATCACTACAATTCTTAGCTCTTTGTGCTCTAATTTGACGACTTCTACTTCTTCTTCGTAGCACCTATATTTTGTCCTTTTCTGCTTTCAGAATTTGCTAAGCTTTTGTGCAGCCATATTGCCTTCTGCTGTCTTCCATTTTATTCCTAACTGAAATTGTGTTTTTAACATCTTTTTTTCTAGGAACTCCCACTCCTCTTGAGCTCCATTTCCTATTAGTTCCTTCTTATATTGGATTCTATTTATCATTTCTCTGGTTTATTAATATCAATTTTCTTAAAATTTAAGACACTCATTCAACTACGCTCAGGTTTAGAAATCAGGAGTGTGGGCACTAAGGATAGAGTTGTGGTCTCTGTCACATACATAAGTGCCCATCGTGTTTAGGGTATTATATATAATAATGTTATATGCAAGAAAGAAAAGAGATAACCAAATAAAATAAATCAAACCAAATAAATTAAAGGCATGAAATGAGAGAGAGAGAGAAATGGAAGGGAATATAGCTGAATATAATTTGCACCAATACTATTTGCTATTATTTCTTCATATATTTGTACCCTTAAAAACTTGGGGTACAAAAACTTAATTCTTGTTTATATGTCCATACATTATTTACAAAATAATGCTTTACCTAAAATACACTATAATTTGTTCTTACCTGTCTTCTGAGGATCTGATCAACTCAAAACAACATAATAACAGAGTTACAAGGTACCTTGGAGGTCTTCTAGTCCAACTCCCTCCTCAAGCAGGAAACCTTATAACATTTCAGACAAATTGTCGTCCAATCTCTTCTTTAAAATCTCCAGTGTTGGAGCACCCACAACTTCAGGTCATTTCACTGTCAAATTATTCTAAGTGTCAGAAAGTTTCTCCTTAATGCTAGGATGGTTGTCTCCTTGATTATTTTCTATCCATTGCATCTTGTCCTGCCTTCCATCCAACCTCAACTAGGCTTTTCTTTCCTTTTGACCCATTCATTGTTCCTTCCTGTATTTGTTTTATAATTCCTTCATTCTCTCTAAATGGCCACACTACCCCATTGTATATCCTTTATACAAGTAGTTCACAATGTGTCCAAAATATGGACTCAATATTCAAAAGCAGTCCATATTCATTGAAGCTTATCACGCTTGACTTTTTTCTTCTTGCTTTAGTTTACACACTTTTTCAATATGTTATTTCCACTGCATTCAGTTACTTCTACATATATTTCTTCTGATACACTTTCACTTCCATTGAACGAAGAAGTCCAAAGTATACCCTTAAGCACACCCACTTTCATGTCTTTCAAGATTCATTCCTTGCAACAGACAGCATACTATCTCATTTGTGGGTCTTCAAATACCTCCTTCCCTATCTTTATAAACATTCTACCCAAATAAGCATGTTCCTTTACTTGTTCTAGTTTTTCATCGTTTGTGTATATTATAACATTCATTCTGTTTTTCATATCAAAAATCATTCATATCAAAATCTGGAAACTTTGATACGTTATTTTTATGCTTGTTGCATAATACAGTCTACCTAAGATTCACTGCATATGCTCACTTTCCCACCCAATATACCTATAACATCACACAGTCATTTCTTATAAATTTCTAAATTCTGTACTTCAATATCCTTAATGGTTTAATACAAATATATCACACACCCATGTCTTATTTCCTATTTTATAATCTACAAATATAATGTGGCATAGTGTAGCATGTATTGTACATAGAAATAGGAAACAAAAAATAGAAAATAAAACCTACAAAATAGAAATGATTTGCCAGAAAAGAAAGCCCAATCTATATGTGGCATCTATATATCAATCAATCAATTTAATTTACATAAAAAGACCCCAAGAAATACAATCTAAACTTGGCAGTAGCTATATACTTGTACAAATAAAATATGTAATAAATATTATATAAAAGACTTAAGACCCCAGTTCATTGATTTGTTACTAAGAGCCTTGCTTTTTATCATCCATAGTTAAAAAGCTGGTTGTGCTACTATAATTTTAAGATTTTTATCTGCAAATAATTTTTTTGCATAGTCAGAAATATTTCTTCCTGGTTTGGATTTTAAAATAGTCCAGATTATTTCCTGCCAAAGACTCTTATAAAATTCTCAATACAATTAATATTATCCACAAATATTATCCAATATCAATAGCATTACAGGGGAAAAATCTTTGAGAGATAAGGTTTTTCAAAAAATCTCACATATAGTATATTTGATAGCAACACATTTAATCTAGCTTTTGAAAAAAAACTATTCTTTATTTCTTAAATATAAGTTATTCATATATTTAGGGAATTGAAAAATATATCTGTACTTAATTCCAAAAATTACAAGTGAACATGATACTTTAGCTTTAGCCATTAATTCCTGTACTCCTGCATCTCAAAAAATTTTATGGGTCTCCAATTTGGATCACATTACCTAACAATAAGCAGGCAAAAATTTTAAGTTGTATTTTGTCCCAAGTTGTGTTCCCAATCTGTTATTCTGTTGGAATATAAGAAAGACCTAGTTAAGCAAACATATGTTTTTAAAACGATTGTTTCAGGAAATCCCAAATGAATCCTTTGTAGATATCTGGTTTAAACAGGTGACTTAAAAGATTAGTCAGATTGGCATTGATCCTGATTATTTATTCTCCAGAGGTAATTCATCAGCAATTCATTGTATCAAACAAAGCATCTATAATGTTCACCCGTCAAGTAATATTCCTCTTTGTAACTTTGTTTTTTTTTTAACACTTTTCACTTACTTTTGGAAAACTATCTGCATTTTAGGAACCTCTCTTTGCTGCAAGAGTGATATATGACCTTCTCTTCTTCTTCATGGTGATCATTATTGTCCTTAATCTGATTTTTGGAGTCATTATTGATACCTTTGCTGATCTAAGAAGTGAGAAACAGAAGAAAGAAGAAATTTTGAAAACAACATGCTTTATTTGTGGTAAGTGTCAGAATCATCAAGAGTTCAATTCTAGGCAGATGGAGGAATGTCTCCATTCCCCAAAAGATATGCACACATTTTTGTGACACAAACAACATTTTATGAAAGTTTTTAGAATAAATTGCTAGGGGGCATGTAATGTTAAGGTTTTGACAGAGGTTTTTTTTCCTGAAGGCTACTGACCATAGGGTAAGAGGGTAGTGGATTAGCCAGAGTTAAAAAAGTATACATACATGGCCAGTTCTAACATTAGAGAGATATACAAGCTAAGATCCGCTGGAAATTTGGTGCTGAGATAATGTTTTATAAATTATAAAGTTTTGTAGTTATGGCTGAACAACATGGCAGCTGTGTAAACAGCCCAGACTGTACCTATACTTTAGATCTGACCTGATAGAAACTGGACAGGAAAGCGAATTATGGTGGAGAATATAATGAAACTGTGAAGCCAGAAATTAACTGTAAAGCAAAGGCAGATTCCATGTGCTGAAAAGTTATGAAGGAACTCAAAAATAGAACTGCCAATATAATAATGCCTTGTACAAATATAAGGTGGGACATGGAGTATTTTGGATATTATAGAACCAAAAAGTTAAAGAGCAAATCTATCATTATCCCTAACCCTATGAGGAAGAACTGGAGCCATATGCAGGAAACATACAACATTAGTAATGGGAGACTTCAATTATCCTGATATCAATTGGAAAACTAATTCTGCACCAAGTGAGAAATCAAATAAGTTCCTAACCAACCTAGCTGACAACTTTGTTGTCCAAAAGATAGAGGGTGAAACTAGGGGGACTTAATTCTTACAAACAGGGAAGAAGTGATAGAGGGAGATGAAACTGCAGGAACCTTGGGTGAGAGTGACCCATGTCATACTAGAATTCAACATAACACAAACACAAGCAACAGAACATAATGACACCAGAGTCTTGGATTTTAAAAGAGCTGATTTCAATAAACCCAGAGAGAACTTGGGAAAGATTCCAGGGATGAAAATCCTAAAGGGGAAAACAACTCAAGAATCTTGGGAAACTCTAAAAAGTATGATCATAGAAGCCCAGACCAGCACAATACCACTGAGAAAGAAAAACAAGAAATCCAAGAAGAAACCAGCATGGCTGCACAAAGATCTCTCTGGCAAATTGAAAGAAAAAAAGGGGAAAAAAAAGAAAAAAGTACAAAAAATGGAAAGAAGTACATAGAACTAAGGAAGAATAGATAGCTAGAATCTGCAAAGATGAAGTCAGTATAGCAAAGGCTCAGAACAAACAAAGACTTGCAACAAAAGTCAAAGACAATAAAAAAAGTTTCCTCCAACATATAAATAACAAGAAAAAAATCAAGGAAACAGTCAGTCAACTAAAGAGAGAAGATGGCAAGGAAGTAACAGGCAACAGAGAGAAAGCAGAACTGCTTAACCCATTCTTTGCATCGGTCTTCACGCAAAAAGAAACGATAGCTCAATCCACCAAAAACATAACTGTAAAAGACAGACCAGAAATAAAAGTTAAAATAAGCAAAAAAATAGTAAGAGAACACCTGTCTGATCTTGATGAACACAAATCACCGGGGCCTGATGGATTACATCTCAGAGTTTTAAAGGAGCTGGCAGAGGTCATCTCAGAACCACTGCACCATATCTTTCAAAAATCCTGGAGCACCGAGGAACTACCAGAGGACTGGAAAAGAGCTGATGTGGTTCCCATCTTCAAAAAGGGAAAAAAAACAGACCCAGGAAACTATAGACGGATCAGCCTAACATCAATTCCCGGGAAGATACTGGAAGAGATTATAAAAAAAACATCTGCCAACATCTAGAAACAAGTAAAGTAATAACTAGCAGTCAGCATGGGTTTGTTAAGAACAGATCATGCCAAACCAATCTTACTAGTGACTAAATTAGCAGAACAGCAAAATACTTTGGACATAATATATTTAGATTTCAGCAAGGCATTTGACAAAGTAGACCACAACCTACTTCTTAGTAAGCTAGAAAAAAGTGGAATAGATAGCACCACCACTAGATGGACTTGCAACTGGCTGACAAACCGTACTCAATGAGTAGTCCTAAGTCTACAGGGAGGGAAGTAAGCAGTGGGGTGCCACAAGGTTCTGTCTCAGGCCCAGTACTCTTCAATATCTTCAGTAACGACTTACCTGAGGGAATAGAAGAGGAACTTACCAAATTTGCAGATGATACTAAGCTGGCAGGAATAGCTAACACGCAAGAAGATAGGCTCAAGATCCAGATGGATCTTGACAGACTAGAACACTGAGCCATATCTAACAAAATGAAATTCAGTGGAGAGAAAAGTAAAGTCCTACACTTAGGCAAGAAAAACCAAAAGTACACATATAGATTGGGTGAAACCAGGCTTAATAGCAGTAATTGTGAGGGGGAACTTGGAGTCTTAGTGGACAACCAACTAAATATGAGCCAGCAGTGTGCAGCAGCAGCCAAAAAAGCTAACTCAATCCTAAATTGTATTAACAGAGGGATACAATCAAGATCAAGGAAGGTACTAATACCACTCTATAAAGCTTTAGTAAGATCACGCCTAGAGTACTGCATTCAATTTGGTTCACCACATTTTAAAAAAGATGTTGAGACTCTAGAAAAAGTACAAAGAAGAGCAACCAGGATGATTAGGGGACTGGAGACTAAAACATACAACGAACGGTTGCAGGAACTGGGCTTGGCTAGTCTAGTAAAAAGAAGGACCAGGGGAGACATGATAGCGGTCTTCCAATATTTGAGGGGCTGCCACAGAGAGGAAGGGGTCAAGCTATTTTCTAAAGCGCCTGTAGGCCAGACAAGGAATAATGGATGGAAACTGAACAAGGAGAGATTTAACCTGGAAACAAGGAGAAACTTTCTGACAGTGAGAACAATCAACCAATGGAACAGCTTGCCCTCAGAAGTTGTGGGAGCACCATCACTTGAGACTTTCAAGAAGAGATTGGACTGCCATTTGTCAGAAATGGTGTAGGGTCTCCCGCTTGGGCGGGGGGTTGGACTAGATGACCGACAAGGTCCCTTCCAACCCTGATTATCTATTATCTGTTTAGCTTCAAAAAAAAAAAAAATAGGGAAAGATACACATTTTTAAAAAGTACCTAAAATGTAATTGGAGAAAAAAGCTTTTCTCCTCTTAACATAAAAGGTCATTTTGAAAAGTTACTATCACCATCTTGCCCCTGGCTTGTGGGCTTCTCAAATGCATTTCATTGACTAGTATGTAAAAAAAAAGGCTGCAGTAGTTGCACTAATTATCTGATCCAAGGCTCTTCTTATGTTTATTCGTTCTTAATCTTCACACACTTACAAATGCAAAAACAGAAATCAGTTCTCAGCTATTGGTGAAAATCTATGTTTTCTTTATATATTCTAAGTCTTCATTTTCTATAAAATTGTATGCAGAAAAGGAAGTTTTATGAACTGTGAATCACCCAGAGTCATTGACTGAGATTGGCAGCCATAGAAATTGAACAAACAAACAAACAAACAAACAAACAAAGAAAATGTGGTATATTCTTAATGTTTGAAAATATTTAAGGGCCAAGCAATATTCCTTTGAAACTTACCATTACCAGGAAAAAATGTCTACAATCTATAGGTAGACTTAAAATTAAATAAAACCATGTAGTGCTTTCTGATCCTTAAAAAAAGCTGTTTTGAACAGTTTTATATTATATTACTTTTATATTACTTGTCTTTAAAAGAACTTCAGTGGATTCCAGTCATCCAATTAACTAGTCAGTGGAAACATATATGGAAACATATGCTGTATGTGGTCAAATATTCTTCCTCCAATTGTGTTCAGAGGTTGTGTTTTATTTTGCTCATTAGGTTTGGAAAGAGACAAGTTTGATAACAAGACGGTGACTTTTGAAGAACACATTAAAGAGGAGCACAATATGTGGCACTATTTATGCTTCATTGTGTTGGTAAAAGTAAAAGACTCTACAGAATATACAGGGCCCGAGAGTTATGTAGCAGAAATGATAAAGGTGAGTTTTCCCATGCTGTGTGTGAAATATGGCTTGTTCATACTTCTTTTAATTCTCCTAACGTCTGAAAGTCTGAATTCACATTCTATTAAGATTTTAAAGGATTTGTAATGAGCATTAATGTGTACCTCTTTATTTTTTCTTCTCTGTGGAAAAATATTGTTCTTCAGAACAATTATGATTTGTTTTCACAAAACTAATGTCTTCTCAATGCCTGATATTTTTGCAACTCAGTGTGTGGCCACACAAATTCTTTGGGCCCTCATTATGTTGGATCAGGCCCATAGTTGGCACAGTGGTTGTGAATTCACTGTAGGCCATTCCAGATCTCTTGAGGAAAGAAGGAAGCCAGGTAGAAGTCTCCCAGCACTACTAGGTGGGCAGAATTTGAAGATGGAAACACTCCCTTCTCTGCCACCAAGTTTTCACAACTTCATCAAAGTTTTCTCTTTCATGTACAACCTAATTGGAAATACAAATAATTTTGTTATATTTTATTATGAACAGACAGCCCTCAGGCTCCAAAGATCTGAAATTGTGGGTCCCAGTGTAAAGATCCCCTGGAAAAGAAGAGTTAGTTAAAGGTTCCTAAGTCACATTTTCTGAGTTAGGCTTACTCTCATTCTCGTGTTATATCTTTTCCTATGAATCATGTCCCGTTCTTCTGTCATTGTCCCCCCCCCCTGCTGCCCTGCCCCCATTATTCCGGGACTGTAGGATTGAATCTGGGTCAGTCATCGGGAGCAGAGGTGTTTTGTCTTTTAGCAGTGAAGTTCTCTGAAGATGAGCTCCAGCATGAGTCCAAAAGCTCAGAAGACAAAAATCCCTGGTCCCGGCGACTGATCCAGATTGGATTCTACAATATCTTTTCTTGGCACATCAAAATCAAAATCCCATTCTTCTGTGGCCTCCCCGCCTGCCTCCAAAATACTCGACAGCACCTCCAGCCTATCATTCCTCATCTATTTAAAGTTATAATTACATTATACTAAAGCAGGTGATTTTAGGTTAAATCAGCAACTCAGATTTACAGGTCACCAAAGTGTCAGTCAAACTACCTTCTCTTCTTCCCTTCTACCACCCCACTCATCTGTTGGATGGATAATATACTACTTTCATCTGGCTATTACACCAACTTAAAATATGGAGTAGCATTTGAATGTGTATAGATCCCAGATGCCATCCTTGAAAACTTGCAGTATACAAAAAAAATCCTAAAAGAAGGTTGCATTTTTCCAATTAAGTTTAATCCATTGTTTTAACTGTAATTATATTTTGGTTATTCTAATCACAATATGACCCAATAGGCATTTTGTGATCATGACAAGATTAAATTCATTTACTAAAATATATGATTTAATACTAAACTGTTTAAAAGATTTTTGAAACAATCAGACCAGATTGATAAGATAATGGTACTGCCATTGTCTTCATCTTTGGGTCACTAAACTTCCTAAAAAACGTATTTCTATGGGAATCAAACAAACTGAGCTAAGCAAGTCTTCTAGTTTCTTTTAGCTTTCTCTTAACAGCAAATGGGATAGCTTTCTTGTTTGTTTATATTTCTGTACGTCAATTTAAGGATTTAACTTTAAAGATTTTTTTTGTAAACCCTCTTAGAGGCAGAATGCTTTTGTTTTGCCAAATGCTCATTTAATCTTGAATTCAGCTTCTTGATTAACTTAAAGCACTGATGGGCCAGGAGCGTATGTTTTGTTTTTCTCATGTCTTCTGCCTCATCAGAAGTCTGTCTGGATGACTATTCCAGCTGAATATTTGCCTCTGTTTGTAATAAAATACATGCAGTTGCCCTTGCAAGATGCATTATGCAGTACATATTAAATTGAAGATAAATCCCCTTAAAATCTCTCATTATGTAATCCATTCTGCTTTGAATTCTTTTAAGTCTGTGTCCTACTTCTGAATATTCCCTAAATAATAGCTTCTTTTAAAAAGTGTTGTGAGTAATCATCTGACAGTAGATTAATGGGTTAGAAAAGCTTGTCACTTTATCTTGTTCTCACAGAGCTAGAAAGTTTTTGGAATGTAATTTTGTATTTAAGTCAGAAAGCATTTGCATGCAAAAATAATTGAATGTTGTATTTGTAATAGCATACAACTGATAAAAGTTTTGTAAACATGCATTAGTACATATTAAGGAACTTTCATACAGAAAACAGCATGGCTTTTTTATAATTTAATAACCATTCACACAGCAATCTAGCAGGATTTTTTTTAAAGAGAAAGATGGTTTTCTAAGTACATGTGAAAATGTCAAGCAAGCAATTGTTACCAGAACTTTTTATGGAACAAAATGCCTTTTTAAAAAAATAGATATTCCCATGTTCAACAAGGCTTGCATTCCATAGAAAGAAGCTGTGTGTCCACATATCAGTAAAAATAGGCTTTGCTGGTTATCTCAGGAACCACATTACCAGTAACTGCACTTAACTTGTCTTGGCTATCAAGAGTGTTGAAAAATACCAGATTCTCAAACTGAATGAACCCTGAGAGTCTCCCATAAAAATATAGCAACTCCACTGCACTCTAGATGGTGTGTCATGGCTGGTGTCAAACCAGAAACCCTCTGAGTACCATTTCAGAGAAGGATACGCCTCCTCATGCTTTGCCTAGTCTCAGTTACACAGGCCAGGTCAGATCTCTCACCTAGGATTAGATCCCAGATGAGGTTAACTTTATTACAGGTGGACCTGGTATTTAAAAGTACTAGCTGGAGTTAACAGAGCTGCTCAGAATTTGACAACCAGGAACTGGAGACAGAGGCAGGGGACTAATGGAGCCTATAAGAGACATTGGTTTTGTGTTCCCTGTGAGCAGTCCATCCTATTTCCCACAATATATATCCCATTACCACTACTAAAATAATCTTATTCTTACCTGCTTTTAATTCTCCCAGACTACTCCTCTTCCTCCTTGTTCCCTGCTCACTCTTGTCCTGTTACATCATCCTTTCATACCCTGTTTCTTGGGTTATCAGATTGTCATCAGGACAATGTTGTCAAGTACTCATTGCTAGCACAGCCATACCCTAATCTGCAAACCCCTATGAGGATCAATTGCAATTCCACCCTCCTTCCATCATTCATAAAATTCATTCATGAAATTGAGTAGCGACTGCATACTATTTCTCTAGGAAAGTAATATTTAAACAATGGGGCATTGTTCAAGTGAAAGAATAATTTTGTTAGAAGGCTTAAGGCTGCAGTCACCTTTTTCTCTTTATTGGTATAGTGCAGAAATACTCTTTCCAGATTTAAAAAAAAAAACAATTATGGGAAATTTTCATAAAAAGACAAGTTCCACAGGGAAAATGTCCCAGGTTTTTAGAAAAAATCTGGAAAGAGTATTTCTGCACTATACTTAATGTGGATTTAATATGCCCAGTTAATTTTATAGCTATAACAATTGGCTTTAAAAAAATGGGGTGTGCCACACCATGCTGCTCCAGGATAGAACAAATCCATTCTGCATGTATCTAGTATTGTCTGCCCTCTAGGGGTATAGTTGGTATGTACATTTGCCATGGCAAACTGATGTTTTGTGTCACCCTGTTGTCTCATTGTTTCATTAATTAAAAATAAAAATTGAAATGGTCTATAGAGCTGACCACCTGTATGATAGGATATGTAAAATCAATTTGTTTTGATTGTAATTGGCCACAAATATGGATCTTTCTGACTTTATTTCAAGGACTATTTCTTGGATTGGTAAGTAGGCTAGTTATCAGATTCCCTTGGTTGCCATAAAAATGAATAAAACAGGGATTGCAACCCTTTACATCCTGAGATAGAATTATTAATAATTTCCTCAAATAACTTATATTAAAAACTCTTTCAGATTGAAAATTGCAGATCTGGCTACTATAAAATTTAGGTGGTCTTGCTGACTCATTCTTTTACTGATCTGTACCACGTGTAATCGGTTTTATTTCTCTTATAACATGCCTTTCTCTTTTTTCTGTGGATTCAGGAAAGGTCATTGTAATCCTTTCTTATGGGTAGTGATTTAGCCAGCTAAACATTCATTGCCTATCTTAATACTTCTAGGATTCCCTGCCTTATAGAACTTCCTTGCCATCATCAATTTTATTTTCCCAAAAGTGCAAAACAGTATAAAAGAATTTACAGTTGGCTTTACAAGAAAACACAAGGAATTTGTGGAGGACACTGTGAGCTGACTAATATTCCCTCTTTGTGATCAACACAGAAAAGCAAAAAAGTAACTTAACTAGTACCCTGAAATACTGTAGTTCAGAGGTGTCAAACTGGCAGCCCAGATGTGTCACGCTCAAGGGATGCCCATCCCAGCTCCACGAAGGGGAAAAACGTTGTGGCACATCATGTGATTGGCAAGATGATGCCACAAGTTTGACATCTGTGCTGTAGTTCTTTTAGAAACAAGCATACATTTGTACACTAATTCCTTTACCATATTACTGTGATGGGAATCTTGGGGATGGGTGGAGGGATAGATTGATAGATTTCTGCCATCCCGATATTGCATAGAAAGGCAGTGGCAATTTTGTAACTTATTTTTAACCTAAGTATTAATAACCGTATTTGCAAGATGCTATAGTGTCTAGAAAAGGGAAGGTATCTTGTAATTAGTTGCAGAAGTTGTAATTAGTTGTAATTGAGCTGCAGGAGTTCCACTGCAGCTGATGCAGGCTGCTTTGGCTGTTTGTAGGTCTCTACTCCCACACACTGTAAGCCAAAGTGAGCAGGGTGAAATTGAAGACTTCTCTTTGAATCTCCCTTTCCTTTGGCACAGGACCAAGCAGCATGCAAATCACTGGGCAGCTTTATATGGATTATGCTTTTTTTTAGCTACAGCCTTGAACAAAATAGCTTGCTTGAGTCAGGAACAGGAAAGAAAAAGAGCCAAGAGTTTCCACCAGTAGGAAAACGGATTGTCCAGAAGTTCATGTATTGCAGTTTATAACTATCACAGTCTAATTCCAACATTAGTTGACCAGATACATCTAAAGCAGATTTTGAACTGTCAGAAAGTTCTTGTATGAAATGTTTTTAAAGTTTAGGAGTTAATTTTTCCTTAAGTCCAAATAATGGTACTCTGCAGAGTCCCTAAAGTGTCTCTCTGTGTGTGTGTCTATGTGCGGAGATTCTCTGTTAATCTGCCATGTACAGTTTTTTGGACACTATTCACAGTCAAATGAAATACTAGGAAAAACTTTTTTCTTGTTAAACTTGAAGTTTAAGAAAGGATGTAGAATTGTTTACTCACATAATTTACTTATTTGTCTTGTATGCCACCCATCTCATCTACAGGCATTTTTACTACTTTGGAAATATCAGTACTAACTACAGTATTGGATTGGTGCGACATGAGTAGACTTATGTTGACTTGTAGGGATGTTTTTAAATTAGAGAACCTAACACACACAGAAGAATTTGCAGATATTTGAATAAAATTGGGATTTGTCTCATATGGGCCATAACATGTCAAAATGGCTGACTGATCTACATATGACTACATATTTTGGTAGTAGTAGTAATAATTGCTATTACTTAT